AAATTAAACAACCGACACTGATACTTACGACTCTGTGAATATTTAAAATCACAAATAAACACCTTCATTGAAAAACACTCATTTAAGCAATTAAAAATTGTATTTAAAACAATAAATAAGGGTGTCAGTCTTGAACTCTGCATAAATGCATAGAAGACAGTTTCCTTTTGTGAACAAAAAGAACAGTTTTGATCCATATTCAGGTTAATAACAGAAACAAAAGTGTTCACTGCAATAACAACATCTCCAATTCTCTTAGATAATGGTGACTTATACAATACTCTCCACTCAGGTTTTTCACTCTCTTTCAAATGAAGCATACCACGCCAAGGAGGATCAATTTTTTAATCCAAGGTCTTCTTATTAAAGATTTTAACACAGATTTTGTAACAGACCTTTCCAGAAGTAACATCTGAACTCATCACAATCAAATTGTTAACCTCTAAGAAACAGCCTCCACAATTGTCCATTATGGGAGTTAAATATAACTCGGGAGAAGAATCGGTACAATCTGGATTAATAAGACCCAGTGAGTAATCCAATAACAATTTTAGTTATTTTTCAGACAAAGCGGTCCTCCACTCGTCAAGTGCTCTGGTGACCAAACGAGTAGATCTCTTCCACAGCTTCTCAGTCTCTGAACTCACATCTATAAAGTTAGCTCCAGAGTTGAGAAGATTATCTTCCGTCACAAAGTAACTCAGTTCACTGGACAAGGCCAAACATGAGCCCAAAATAAACGCCTCGTTCCACAGCCAGAACAAAGTGTTCACAGTCCTCTTCTTTGGAATCTTGAACAAGGCCCACACTTTAAAAAGATTTGATAAAAAACAGGAAACTTGGAGAGTTTCAGCTTCTGAGGATCACAGTGAGGCTCTATCCAATCCTAGTCCTTCAACCCCTCTCAGTGTAGCGGTTTGGGTTCTCTGAGCCTGTTAAAAGTCTTTGTATGAACTGAATGTTTGTAGATGCACCAGTCCAAGTCCTCCTTCTTCTTCTTTAGGACGGTTCAATACACTTTTGGTACCCAGTGCAGCTTGTCCCAAAAAAGTCCACTAAACATGACTGAATCTTTGATCAAAGATCTGCTGGGGGATCTATGCAACTTTTGCCTGGCATTTATACAAGTTTAATCTATAAACATTAGCCAAGAGAGCAAATAACTTGGTTAGAGGGAGGACCAGATTGATTTTGGTGCTCATGAAAAAATATAAAATATATAGTAGAAACAGTAATTACTATTTAAAAACATTGCATGATTAAAAACAAAGTTTACAGGTCTAAATCTTGGGTTGTAACTCGATTTAATCCACTTTTTTGCTTAATTTTTTTCTTTACAATTATGACAATAAGCAACAGCGAACACACTCCACACACACACAGAATCAGTGGCAGTAAATAAGAAGGTGCTCTGTTACTGCACTCAGCATCAGTCCTATCTGTTCCTTCCTTGATTGTTATTTTGTCAAGAGATGCACAGCTGTTAGAGAGAGACACAGTACTCAAGATGAACTACAAATACATCTCTTGTGAGAAAAACATCTACTGAAGCAAATTAAAAAACAACAAATTTAATTTAAGAAGGTGTCAGAGTTTTAACATATTAATACTTACTTTGTATGCAATTTGCAGAATGTACCATCTGAATATGAACCAGCAGGACAGTCATCACACACTGTATCTCTGAACTCTGTTCCTATACAAATGCAATTAAAAAACAGCATCAGTACATGAGCAATAACGACAGTGACAGGTCTCACAGATAATGACATCATTATTCAGTATAGCATCTGACACACTAAATCAATCTTCACATAACTAACTAATAATCAGCAGAATCATAATTTAGTAGATTTTTCAGGTGGTTTTAAGAGACACAAGCAAGCAATGTCTATCATGAGGAACCACTTAATACTTTCCCCAGGTGCAATAAAAGCGGATATGAGAAGGTGCCTCCCATTGAAGAGACGCTAGCCTGCTATCTCGCTATGGGAGAAACATCTTCTCTCAGGACTCCCTCCTTGCCATCCAGACCCCTTCAAATAACATCTTGTCTTGAATGGCAAGGTGTACGCAGCAGCAGGTCAGGCGGCGGCTTCATTGGATACCATTATCAATGATACCATATCATACCATTCTTTTTGTTGGTCGAGCTTAGCAGTGCTCCCCTCACTTATGGCGCTTTTCCACTGCGTGGTACGACTCGGCTCGGCACGGTTTGCGTTTCCACTGCAGTTCAGTACCGCTTTAGAGTGGGCGGGATTATTCACGTCGTTATAGTTGCGCTGCCTCTACTACCACGACTCCTAAAAAAAACGTTTTCATTCTGCTTCGCCCTATCAAGCTCTCGCTGGATCCGCTCCTCTGCTATCAACGAGAGGAACGTCTGTTCTTCCACAACAGGCAACAAAACTTTTTGGTTGTTAAAAAAAGGTGCACTCGTTCAAAACAGTTGCATTCAATCCTTCGCTGGCTGTGCTGATTTAAATCTAGCGGTTCTTTTGTATTTATGTTGCAAGTTCAGTGACGCAGGTAGTGACGATTCTCTCCAGCCAATCCGTGATCAGCAGAATTTACACGTCACGTTTTGGTAATGGTACGGTTCACTTGGAACCCCAACTGAGGTGGTACTAAAAAAAAAGTACCAGGTACCAGGTACTGCACCCAGTGGAAAACCCCCAAAAAGTGAACCGTACCGAGCAGTACTGTGCCGTACCATGCAGTGGAAAAGTGCCATTAGAGGCTCACCTATGAGCACACTGCTCCCAGTTTGAAGTGTGACTGTTTTGGTTGAGTTGGTGATTCTCCCCTTACATGGAGGGTCTTTCTATGAGATACACCTTTTTCAATCTACATGCGCTCTGAGCATGCGGCCTCCCACTGAATTATTGTCACTCCTTGAGTGGGTCACAGTCATGTAGGGTCTAGGCCTGTCTAGGGGACAGGTTCTTGGATACCCTTTAGTAACGGTGTTGCTAAATCTATGCTATGGTAAGTGCACACGCTCAGCTTATAAAATCCACATTGTGGTAAGTGTGCACGCTAGGAATTTTGTGCACTTTCTAAAATCCTGTATGGTAAGGGTTACGCGCTGTAGCCTCATTCCATTTCTGTGAGTTGGTTAGGCCCAGGTATTCGCCTTGGGCTCCACTCAATCTATGTCTCCCTGTTGGTTCATTACGGTATTTCTAAATCCATATCTATGGTAAGTGCTCACGCTAGTTCTCTGTGCACTTTTTAAGTCCATATTCATGGCAGGTGTGCACGCCAGCCTTTGTGCACCTTCTTAGAAGCTTTTGTGGTAAGTGTGACGCGTTGTTGTCTCGTCCCCTTTCTCTAAGTTGGCTCTGGCCCCGGTTACCTTGGGTCCCACTCTCTGCATATTCACTTTCTAGACAGGGTGTTACTACTAAGTTTCCCTGGGTATCTTGAGATCCTCTGTAGCTAGTTCTTAATGCAGGAGGTAGTCTCTGTTTTGACAGGCCAGGATATGGGGTTGTAAGTAGCCCTGATACTCTGCCTTATCCCCTTAAAGGAATCCTTGGTTATTTTTTGATTCCAGGCTTGAGCTTTGCTCTGGGCTCGGGCTTTATACAAGCCAGCCCTTACAGGTAAGTTTGGTGCACAGCTCAGGCCTTTGGCCGTAGGGGATTATGTCACTGACAGCCGTCAAACGTCCTAGGGGCAGCTCCTTTGACTTGTTGAGTTGGTACTTAGTACTCGCCTTGGTATCGGCATGCACTCCCCTCAGCATGGCAGTATAGGTATACCGTTCCCCAGCGCGACCCCTAGAGGACGCAGTTGGAAGTTCCCTCGGAAGGGAACGTCTCAGGTTACGTATTTAACCATTGTTCCCTGAGAAGGGAACGAGACACTGCGTCCTCTAGTCTCCTCGGCATGATTCGGATATAGCTTCAGACGAAGAAGCGGATGACGTGTTCTACCGGTGCTCTTTTATACTTTGGATGCGCCGGTAGTGACGTCATAGGCTGTTGCCGGCCAATATCATTGTCGTGTTTAGATGTATGCTTCAGACACCGGTCATGTCGAAGGCATTCCCCATAGTGACCCCTAGAGGACACAGTGTCTCGTTCCCTTCTCAGGGAACCATGGTTACATATGTAACCCGAGACGATTTCTATAAACTGTGTAGTCTTAAAAATGAAAATACATTTTTTTGGTATGTTTCTTATGTTCTGTATCTTGATTTTATGTTAAGTACATTTCTAACGCCACAACAAACTCCTTGTGTGCTTGTGCACACTTGGCCAATAAATCTTTTTCTGATTTAGAAAATAGCGTAGAATAAATAATCAAAATAATACAAATAATCAGACTGTAATAATGCTGGGTACACAGATTTTCTAATTAATCGGGATCTTGTTATGAACAATCCCAATATTGGTTTTTGACCTCTTTTTTTTTACTTTATGCTTATTTTCAGGGACATCTACTTCTTTTGAACAACTTGACGAGTTGTGAATGTTTGCAAATCAGAATCAAAGTGAATAAATAAATCAGGAAATCTGCATCAATACCCAACCCTAGACTGGAGTCATGTTGTGTTTAATGCAGTGATGGATAGATCAGTGATTCCAAACCATCTTCTATCTTAGAGACCACTAACCTAGACCTTGAAATCTATTTGTGGATTGTGTAACTATAATAATATCTGTCAAATAAGTGACTTATAATAAAAAAAACTGAATGTCCATTGACATTCAGAAATAAAACTATGTACTGTATAAATAGATTTCACACTGTAATTCAACACCTGGCCTGCCCTAGTTGTTTCTACACATTATTTTTATACCAGATGAAGGGAATGTACCACAAGTGTAATTTCTGTTCAAACACAGAAGATTATTTTATGAGCATATAGCATAACAGTTGTTCATCGGTAATAATGAATGATACAGTTTAAAGCCTGTAATGAAAAAGTATAATATATGACCTCTTTAAGTATCTGAGTTCATCTGCATCTATTGTGGGTTTGAGTGAAGAGCAATCTTATCCAGGACTTACCTGGATCACACATCGGGCAACACTCTCCATCAGTTTCATATTCTGCATTATTGCATGCTGCCACACAAAGCACAATCTTCACGAAGAGGAGAGGAAGCAATTGTGATAGATTATAGAATATACACATATCTGGGAACTAAATAAATCATCTGCAGAGGTGGTCATTTTCATGGAGCTGAAAAAGAGATTTGTGTTAGATGGCTTTCAGAAAAATAGACAGAAATCAATTGTGCCAGACACTTTTATTTTTTATATTTACTAAAATGCATGGGCCTCAAAACTAAACATCAATTATGCATTGACTCATTATTTTATACATTAATGCACAGCAGGTGGCATGCCAACTCCTTAAGACAAGAGGAATGACAATTTACAAAATGCCTATATTTCATATTATACAACATATTTAGGAAAGAAAGTTAAAGCATTTCTTTTTTAATTAACATTTGAAGATGCTGTATAACTCCATTCACTACATCTTATCAAAAGACAAAACTGCTCTAAATATAGTTCAATTATAATATAGTTCATTATAAGTGAGAGGAGTACAAAGGAAATGTATGATATAAATACCAGATGAATCATACAGCAATCTCACATGGGTTTGCAAGTAAAGCTCCCATATCTGTAGCAAACAGAAACGTGGGTGAGTGAAGTACTGTGAAGGTTTGAAATAAAGTATTTATTTAAATCACACATAACTATAAAAACATAAAATGTTAAACATTTACACTTCATGGTGCATAATGTTTATCTATGCTTTAGCCAATCAGAATACTGAAACTTGAAGTAATGACTGCTAATGAAAAACTCCTTGCTGAGTATTGAATTTAGTTTAACACAAGTATTTTCGACCTTCCACCTCGCCCTGCAATTTAAACAAGAATCTGGACTTTTATGTAAATGGCTCCAGTCATAATTACTTTACCATTTTACAACAGGGACACAAAAAACGCAAGGAAGGTTACACATGACTACACGTGGGACGGACAACATGAGCTGTAATTGTCAGGGAATTCACAGACAGCTCTTCATATCAAAGATGACCTTTCAGTGTGTTCTTTTGATATTCATCTTTTGTGAGTCACTTTGAATAAAAGCACCTGCTAAATGAATACATGTAAATGTAAAGGAAAGAGCAGGGGAGTTAATTAATGCTAATCGCGGCCACTCTAGTCAATGCTTGTGTTTATACCAGCCGCGCTGCGCACATTTCAGAAGCGTTTTTTTGACTTGTAATCATAGGAAAACCACTATTTTTCAGGTGCTATATAGCACTTTGTCAAATGGTGCCATGTTGAACCATAAGAGGTGCCATATAGCACTTTTTCTCAACAATGGTGC